ATAATAGACAGGCAGATGATAGACAGATAGATAGATAGATAGATAGATAGATAGATAGATGATAGATAGATAGGAGAGAGAGATAATAGACAGGCAGATGATAGATGATAGATAGATAGATAGACAGACAGATGTGTGTGAGAGAGGGGGAGAGAGAGAGACAGATAATAGATAGATGATAGACAGACAGACAGACAGACAGATGATGGATGGATGAACCATTTTAGAAAGGGCTACTTAAAGAAATGCCAAAATTGTAAGTAGGTTTTAAAAAGTAGACAAAATTCAGGATGAACCTGATAACATGCACAAAAAATAACGAAACTTGTCTGCCACCGAACAAAATAAAAAAAATTTAAAAAAAACAACCAGAGTAGCATTTGATAGATATTTTGACAACTCTGTGGCCTGAAAAGATTGAATCAAATCCTTGTTAGCACCTCTGTCTGGAGCTAACCAAACATTCTATTCTGGCGTTCTGAACATCTTTACAAATGACAAAGAAGGGATGTAAATCTCAGGGTGGGTGAAACACACTGTACCTGAGTTTTGCGCAGGACACGGTTGGCAAGGCTCTCCAAAGGCAAAATCTGTGCTCGCACAGCAGCATTCGGACTTTGTGACTGCACCAAATAAGGGTTTAACGCACTGGCCCCTTCTGTATTCCCCATAGCATGTGCTTCGCATGTGCGTATCTGAAGGAGAGAGATTACAAACACACACAAAAAGCTGTCAAATATATTCAATAGGAAAGCTGTACAAATACTTCTGGTTTCGTCATTGCCATGTTTAGTGACTGTTTTGAGGTTACAACCGTGATGACAAAGTAACTTTGCAACCAATCCTCACATTTGCAACCTTCGCAGGTGCACAGAGCAAAGGAAAGCTGAAGTAAGATCATGAGCAGAGTTGTGGTTCCACTCAGCAACCTCTTCCATTAACAACCACGTTGTTGGTCTCGACTGTAGTAGCTACATGGTCTTACCACCACAGCTGAAGTTACTGTAAACATATTTGGTGGCTGCTTATGACGTGGATTCAAACTTTCAACCATCTCCACAGCATTTTCTCCCATTGATTCAGGAAGGGTTCAAGAGACAAATAGTTTTTTCTTTTCTGAAAATGTTTTTAATTTTAAAAAATAATAATCTTCAGCCATTCACTTTGAACAACCATCTTTCTCTGATTCAATAAACTCTTAATATCTGCTAAATCAGGAATGGAGAAATTGTGATGTTTCAGACATTGTCAAATCAACCCTGGCGATCAACGGGATAGCAATAGCCCTTAGACTTATATACCACTTCACAGTGCTTTTACAGCCCTCTTTAAGTGGTTTACAGAGTCGGCCTGTTGCCCCCAACAATCTGGATCCTCATTTGACCGACCTCGGAAGGACGGAAGGCTGAGTCAACCTTGAGCCTGGTGAGATTCGAATTGCCAAATTGCAGGCAGCCGGCAGTCAGCAGAAGTAGCCTGCAGTACTGCACTCTAACCACTGCACCACCATGACTCAATGTCCTCACATCCTCATCAAAGCCCTACTTTCACCATCCCTCTCCACTACAGTTGCGTGTAAATTGTAGCTGTCTACAGAAATTCTCAGTCATCCAGGTCGTTGTTGTCCCCAAAGTGCTTTTTTCAAAAGGCAACTGAGAAAAAAAAATTCAAGCTGCCTTTTTTTGGGGGGGGGGGGAAGCACTTTGGGGGTAAATTGTAGTTCAGCAATTCTGCAGAACCCAAAACTAATGGCTGAAGGTTAATTTCCCATCAGATTCATCTTGTGTCTAGCACATCGAACGCCATTCGTTGTTTCAGCCCAAATCTAGCTGTGTTTTCTCATGAAACTCAACAGAATTGATGCTGGTAAATCTGTGTGCAAAGAAGCTGCAGCAGGTGGCAGCATTTAACTAACCAAGACTAATTCAAGAATCTAAATAAACAAGGCTAGTTCTGGAAACTGCTGGATGGAGGACCTCCATGAAACTTCCAGACTGCGGTCTAGACGAGGAAGTCACCTTCAGAGAAGATCTTCCTTCTGCCAAGAGAACTAATAGATTGCCCTCAACTTAGAACCACAATCACAAGTCCAAAATGTCTGTTGCTAAGTAAGGCTGTCGTTAAGAGAATTTTGTTCCATTTCACGACCATTTTTTTTCGCTGCAGTTGTTAAGTGGATCACACAGTCGTTAAGCGAATCTGGCTTTCACCCCATTGACTTTGCCCATTGGGAGCCAGCTGGAAAGGTTACAAATGGTGAGCACGTGACCCAGGACAGTGCAACAGACATAAGTACATGCCAGTTGCCAAGTGCCTGAATTTTGATGATGTCACCATGGGGATATACTGGTGTTAAGTGTGAAAACCGGACATAAATCATAAATCATCAGTGTATTTGTAACTTTTAACCAATGGTTGTTACTTGAGGATTGCCTGTATGCAGATGCAATCACATGATGCTGAGCTCAAGTCAAGGAAATCTTTAAATACAGCTAGTCCTCAACTTACAATGGTTCACCTAGTGACTGCTCAAAGTTACAACGGCACTTGGAAAAAAAGTGACTTATGACCATTTTTCACACTTACAACCTTTTGTAGTGCTCAACCCCGTGATCCTGTGATCAAAATTCAGATGTTTGGCAGCTGGTTCATACTTATGACCCAAGGTCACACGATCCCATTTTATGACCGTCTGACAAAGAAAGTCAGATTCACTTAGCAACCGTGTTCCTAACTTAACAACTTGAAGGGATTCACTTAACAACTGTGTCCAGAAAGGTCGTAAAATGGGGCAGAACTTGCTTAAGATTTGTCTCGCTTAGCAACATATATTTCGGGCTCCATGTGGTGGTAGGTTGAAGACTGTTGTGATGACCCGGAGTGTAAACAAATGTAACAAAATCCAAAATGTAAATAAATGTAATGCTTCCAACTTGGTCGCACTGTTCAATAATTCTCAGTTAAAACATATTCAAAAATAGTCTTCAAAAGAAAGCAATACGGTCCAAACTTAATGAGCAGATAAAGGTGAAATAAAGAACCAAACAAACTACAATGAAGGAAATTCCACAACGGACCAGGATAAGTAATTACCAACTTCAAGGAGATAACAAGGGACAGTCTGTTGGAAGGATGTCAACCAAGATAACTTCAGCCCAAAATAAAACACGCTTTGCTTCTGGCAACGCTGTGCTTTAATCGTCTCTCTTATATACTATACTCCCCAGCTGCAACCAATGAGGGGGATCATGGCTACTTCCGCTCTCGTAAGCCATGTTGCTCCCTTCTCCATTCCTCCCTGCATGTCCTAGGATGAAGGGCCTGGGTCTTTCTTTGAGTGCCCAGCCAGCCTCTGCCTTCCCCAGCCTCCTCCACAACCCCCAGAGCCACACCTCCACTCCGTCGGCTGTTCCTCCTCTCCCTCAGAGTCCAACGCTAACAAGGGCATGACAAATGTTTGTAATGTCAAAAAATGTCAAGTCATACACTGACAATCGAAACATAGTTTTCTTGAGGAAGGCCTAAAAACCATCACCAAATTTTAGCCATCCAAGTCACCAGATTCCAGGGATTTTTTTTTCATCTAAGGCTCCTAACCCAAAGGATTAATCTCTTTCCATGGTTTACTAATGCCTTCTTCTTTTACATTTAGCTACTCCATTCCCTATCCATTTCTGCCAAGTCAGTGATATTTTTATTTTATTTTTCTCCATATTTTATTTTTTATTTATTTTTATTTTGTCAAACATGTATTAGACAACAGATATAAATATAAACATAATTATTAATACATGAAATAGATACGAATAAAAGGGAACATTAAGACAGGGATGGTAGGCACGTTGGTGCACTTATCCACGCCCCCTTACAGACCTTTTAGGAATGGGGTGAGGTCAACAGTAGACAGTCTGAGGTTTGAGGACAGACCATAGGTCAGGGATCTTCAAACTTGACAGCTTGACAACTTGTGGACTTCAACTCCCAGAATTCCTCCTCCAGGCATGTTAGCTCAGGAATTCTGAGAATTGAAGTCCGCAAGTCCTAAACATGCCAAGTTTGAAGACCCTTGCCATAGGTCATTGATGTCTCCAATAGGATTAACCCAAACTGGGGAATACTAACGGTAACTAACTTTGGATTTTCCAGCTACAGAAATCGTGAAAAACTATCAGAAGCTGTTTATCTCTTCTAGAAATATTTCAACCTGACTGGAGTTATAACTTCCTTGAACCCATTCGCACTCTACTTGCTAAAACAATTCTACTTCGTTATTTTGCCAACCTGTCAAAGGCTAAATATACAAAAGAGAGTTAATCAGGTTGCCATTTGCTAAGGTATGTTAATTTGATGGAAAGTCACTCCGTGTACCAGAACTTAGGTCAGGCATGCCATCTTGCGTTTATTTTAAAAGCAGGAATTTGGAACGAATTCCTAGTTCATAGATAACTCTTGGAATGGACATAATAATTGAATAAGTGACTCCATTTTAAGGCAGATTCGAATCATTCTGGCTCCCGCAGTAATATTGTGTGTTGCCTTTCTGCGTGTTTGAGATCTGAATCACAGCTGCAAGAAGCTAAACCACTGGTCAGCACAATCTGTACGGGGTTGGGGCTTATCAGAATATTTTTATTAATGGTTTCTTCCATGCTCTTAAATTTTTAATATATTTTCATAGATTTTTTCCTTGTTGAAAACAGCAATGGCATTCCTGCATGTCACCAAATTAGGAAGAGCCAGAGAGAATATTTTAATTGCTAAATTCCTACTAATTGATCATTGTTTCCTTTCCTTCCAAGCCCTTTTCAAAATGAGGTTGAAGGAGGAAATTTGTAATAAAGACACATCAATTGCACAGTGAATGGGATTCATCAGCCCTATAAATGGATTGGCACTCTATACTCAGGAACATTGGGGATAAACACGTGTTTTTTTAAAAAACAAAGTTGGACGTTTTTCAGGCAGGACATCAATTCTTCAATGGTTTCACTCAGAAAGGCCAAAATGTCCATGTTTTTTAACATACGAGGCTGAGAGTGAGCCACAAATACAACTGTCAAATTAAGTATGTTTTTTCTTTACTATAATCTACACATATTAACAGCAGGTAGAATTGTGTTTGCTCAAAATTGGAAAAGTGATAGATATTGATAGAGGGAAAATAATTGAAAAAATATTTGAATGTGCAGAAATGAATAGATTAACAGCCCGTGAACATGCTTCATTGGAAAATCTGATTTATGACACACCCAGGGGGTGGAGGGAAACAGGGTCATAGGTGATAGTAAACTATGTGTGTCAGAATTAGCTTCATATGGGTTAGTGCATACATTTTTTGGATTCTTTTGAAGCTTGGCTCAAGGCTCATGATTTAATTAGGGCAATTGCCGGAACCCTGACAGAAATTATTAAAGTTCAGGTGTGCCCTGAACTTTGTTGTTTCTCTAAATCAAGGGTGTCAAACTCAATTTCATTGAGGGCTGCACCAGGGTTGTGTTTTACATCTGGGCGGGCGTGGCCAGAGGGCGTGGCCAGCTCAACGTCACTCATTGAGAGTCCATTTTCAGCCATGATGGCCTCCTGCAGCCCTCTGCCAGCAAAACCCAGGCAACTTTCCAGTGTATCCTTCCATAGGCTGCAGCCTTTTAGACATGATGAAACATCAACATTCAGAATTACTAATCCACCTTGACTGAGAATTCTGCAATCCCTCAAAATCCCAACACATTTGTAAGGCGCCAGATTTGGAAATACGGTTCTAGAGCTTTTCTCTAGAGTGAAGCCCCTGAACCGTAACTGTCAGCTGCGACAACTTACCGACACACACACGTCCATCCAGCCCAACTGCGAGACCAGGGAAGCATTCGCATTTGAAAGAACCGTCGGTGTTGACACAGCGTCCGTTCATGCATATTCCTGGTGTCTCACATTCATCAATATCTGTCAAAAAGAAGGGGAGGAAAAGACCATTTTATTGAAGATTAAAGTTGAGGTTATTACTTGGGATGAGATGCAACAGTTCCATGGAGCTTACTCGTGGTGTACCCAAATAAATAGCTTATGAGCTGTTGGGTGAATATCTTCAGCACCATCTTCTCCCAACTGACTCTATCTGGTAAGATCTCATAGATCGAGAAGATCCATAGATCAGATCCAGAAAGGGGCTCTGGAAGAGGGATTTTTCAACTCCTTGTAGCATTTTCTTTGAGGTCTGGATGGCCACCACAGCAGTTGGGTTTCAGAAGGCCACAAAACTTGGCTTATTCAGGAGAGCTTCAACCTTGAGGTGAGAATGTTATGTATGAGCTACTCCCTCCTGTAACATGGAGATTAATGAATGACCTGTTCTTTCTCTGGCACTGCATGTTGTACGTGTTGTTATTTATGCTTTAGGCTTTGCACTTTTAACTTTATTTATGGAAACACGGTCTGAAAGCCACTCAGTCCATTTTGGTTGGAGAGGCATATAAGTCCTGCAAGTAAATACATGAATGTCTTTCTCCTTGGCAGTTCCTTGATTACAGTAGTGTTGAAATTACCCGTAGCTAGCAAGGAAAAATGTACCAAGTTCAAGGAACTACCAAGGGGAAAACCACACCCCCACCAATATCGTCTGGGCAAGCTATTGTACACAGACAGGGAACAACCCCCCCCACACACTCAATTGCACTGATGATGTTTCCTAGTTGGGTAATGAAACATCTCCAAGCAATCAATCAAACTCAGAGAGCACCAAAGATTCCACAATTTACCCTGAACTACATATATTCTCTTTTATTGCAAGGTCAATGTATTATTTATCTTCCAATGACCTCTCTCTCTCTCTCTCTCTCCCTCTCTCTCTCTCTCCCTCCCTCTCCTCTCTATCTCCCACACTCTCCTCTTTTTCTCTTCTCTCTCTCTCCCCCACTCTCCTCTCTTTCTCCCCCGCCTCTCCTCCCTCCCCCCCATCTCTCATTCTGTGTCCGTGTGTCTGTGTCTCTGCATGCATGAATTTATTTTTGCTCTCCCATAAATTACCACCATCCTTCCTGGTCTTCCATTTTTCCAGGCTTCGCACATACTACAGAATTGATCACAATTGTGTTACTGAATTTGTTCGTTGTTTGCTTTGACACAAACGTGCACTCTCACACACTCCTGCCCAGCAGGAAATAAATGCCTTTCTTTTCCTGATATGTGGTTGTGCATTTCCCCCCTTCCCTCTTCTTGCAATTCTCCCTCTCTCTCTCTTTCCACTGAGAATGAAGAGAAATGTTTTAAAAATACCATGTGGGTAGATGCGTAACCTTTAACAATATAATCATATCCTAACCTAACACCTCCCTTCAGTATACACAACACTTGGCATGTGTGGCCTTTTCTTTCTTTTGCCCCCCCCCCCAACCTTAAAAGGGCAAATGGAGAGCAAAACACCTCTGTGTTTCATTTAGCTTGTGTTGTTTGGCACACAAGACAGTCTTGCTCGTTCAAAGCTAATTGCTAATATCTTTGACGCATTAGCTTCTAATCTCCTGTTCAAGCCAAAAAGGCGAACAAACTGTTAAACTTGCTTAGGCAAGAGGTTAACTTTCTACCTCTTTGCAATAAGAGACAAAGAAGGCCCTTACCTCTGCAGTAACGTCCATCTGCTGCTAACTGGAAACCAGGCTTGCAAATACACTTAAAACTTCCATCTTCATTGATGCACATCCCATTCAGACACATGTTTCGTATGCTGCATTCATCCATATCTAAAAAAATGAATGCACAGTCAAACCAAACTTCATCATCGTGAAAGAACATAACATCATCCCAATGAACTATACGATACTGGGCCAAACATACTCCATTTTATGGGCTCCTTGATACTCTCTGAGTTTGGCGATTTTCTTGCAGACCTTTCATGACCCAACGAGGTAACATCACCAGTGCTGTGACGAATGCTACCTAGCTGGGTGATGAAACGTCTGCAAGGAAACCAACATTCTCAGAGAGCACCGAATCCAAATTTCAACCCTGAGCTACAAATGTCATTTTCTACAGGTAAATCTCTTTACGCTTGGATTTCAAGGATGTATATGAGGTCTGAGTAACTGCGTAGTTGAATTGTGACTTTCATCAGACCAGACCAATCACGCTTCTGCTTTCCAAGGATAAACCCCTTCCAGATCAGGTCTTTTTCAGATTAACGCTGATAATTTAAAGGCTGACAGTTATCTTACGGTGAGAGGGATCGCTTAACACTTTTCTGTTGTTAAACCCAGCACTGAAGACAGAAGGCAGATCCAAATCCTTTCTTATGTTGCTAAAGTAAGCCTCCCAGCATTGTGAACCACACATCATTTTGTCTGAAGCTACTAGAAATTATACCACAGCAAGATCTGGAGGAACACAAGTTCCTTCCCTGGAGTTTTTTTTTTTTAAAAAAAAAACCATGGGAATGTAAAAATAATAAATCTGGTAAACTAAAACAAAGGCTGGTGTTTTGTTTCAGCTGTGACCAACCAGATGCCCAAACAAGCAGGACACAAACGCAACAGGGCATCTCACTCGTGGTCCTAAACAAATGGCATTAGCAGATGGCCTTTGATATTGGAGGTCCTTTAGGACAATTATAAACTAACCATCGCAGGAGAACATTGGAGAAGATACAGAGGGGTCTTGGTGCTCTCTGACTTGGTGGTATTCTTGAAGATGTTTCATTACCCAACTAGGCAACATCATCAGTGCTGTGATAATGCTATGGTACCAGGTTGGGTAAGGAAACATCTGCAAGGAAACTACCAAGCTCAGAGAATATCAAGGACCCCAATATTCAAGGGTTGGTCTGCCAATACTGATAGTCTAGAACAGTGGCCCCCAACCTTTTTTGTGCCGCAGCCTGGTACCGGCATCACAAAATGATCCGCGGCCCGGTACCGGCATCAGCACGCATGACAAGGCAAGGCGAGCCGAGCGACCGTCCAGCCAGCCGTCCCCCGCTTCTCTCCGCCACCTTCAACTCCTCCTTTGTACCTTTGTCGATGGGTTTCGTTCGAATCCCCCCCCTTCGATGAAACTAAGGCGCGAGGATTCCTTCAGGACCCAAACGCCGCTTTCCAACCGGAAAAGCTCACCCGGAAGCACTTTCTCGTCAAACAAGATGGCGGCACCTAGCAAACCGGCGGCCCGGTAGGAAATGTTCCACGGACCGGTACCGGTCCGCGGCCCGGTGGTTGGGGACCCCTGGTCTAGAATATAAATCGAGAGCAAACTCCACTCCTTACTAGCACTGATGATGTTACCTAGTTTGAGTAACAAAACATCTGTAAGAAAACCACCAAGCTCAGATAAATTCAAGGACCCCCACAGTTCAATCCCGAGCTATAAATATTCTCCTTATTTGTTACAGAAATCTCACAGGGAAGCAGATAGCGGTCACATCTTCAGTCCTGCACATAACGGCTTGTCCATGAGTTTAATAACACACCGGTTTTCCAAATTCAGACAAAGTTCTGAATTGGAGGTTGTAGACGGGGGCATTATAGCCAAATAGAGAGAATTTAGTTCAGAAGCTGATGCAATTCAGACGGGCCATAGACTTTTTGGCAGAATTGGGGGGGGAAATGGCATAAAAAAATGTTCTCTCAGACCACGCTTTGTACCACACTGGTTTTATTGCTGTTAAGATATGGGATTTAGGGAGGTGATGAGAGGGAGATATTTGAATGAAATAATTTGACAGATTTCCAGATAAAGATATTTAGGCCAATACCTAAAAGCAGCTCAAACCTTTAGCTGTTCCCTCCAAACTAGGATGAAGAATAGATACCTGAAGGGTTTGCCCCTGTTAACAGATTAACAGAGTTGGAAGGGATCTTGAAGGTCATCTAGTCTAACCCCCTGTCCAAGCAGGAGACCCTACATCATTTCTGACAGATGGCAGTCCAGTCTCTTCTTGAAAGCCTCCAGTGATGAAGCTCCCACAACTTCCAAAGGCAGCTTCAGTTCCATTGGTTGATTGTTCTTACTGTCAGAAAGTTTCTCCTTATTTCCAGGTTAAATCTCTCTTTGATCAGTTTCCATCCATTATTCCTTGTCTGGCCTTCAGGTGCCTTGGAAAATAGCTTGACCCCTTTCTCTCTGGGGCAGCCCCTCAAATATTGGAAGACTGCTATCATGTCTCCCCTGGTCCTTCTCTTCACTAGACTAGCCAGGCCCAGTTCCTGGCTAGTTCCCAGTTCATCATATGTTTTAGCCTCCGGTCCCCTAATCATCCTGGTTGCTCTTCTCTGCATTCTTTCTAGAGTCTCAACATCTTTTTGTATAGTATTGTGACCAAAACTGGATGCACTATTCTAGGTGTGGTCTTACTAAGGCTTTATAGAGTGGTATTAGTACCTCACTTGATATTGATTGAATCCCTCTGTTAATGCAATTTAGGATTGCATTGACTTTTTTGGCTGCTGCCAGATTAAAGATCACATTTATCACTGGAGGACAGTGACCTTAAAACAATATTAAAAAATCAAGAAATTCCCCTTAATATTGAAATGACTCCTCTATATATGGCATGTTTACCTTTTTTTCTGACATTCTAAATCAGGCAAAAATAATTTATGGTTTTTAAAAATGTGTCTCTATCCCAAACAAGAATGTTGGCCCGCAACCTCCGAGCTGAATCACTGAGATAATATTCTGCCAAAAAATGCGGCTTGTGACCAGCGCTTGAATGTTTGTTAAATGTGTGCAGATGGTGGACCCTCTCCCAAGGACTGGGAGAATGTAATAAACCAACTTTTTTTTTCTTTTAAAGAGGGAGTTTGCAAGGGTTTCTCAGGCCCTGTGATGCAATTTTGGGTCATAGTGAGAGAAAAATCAATATATCTTTTTTTTTTAGCAGCCAAAATCTCACAGAAGTAGCAAATCTCACGAGATTTCAACCTTCCTGTCCAAATTCATGCTAAGTTTTGGTGAACTTGTGAGATTTTGGCGAACAGATTGTTCACACACCAAAACTGTGTTTACATTTCTTAGAAGGACCAGGATATGTTGCAAGAGTCCCTTGCTAATGAGTTCAGGATGCTTCCTACGATCTAAAGAGCATTCCCAGGAGTATCTATTTCCATCATAAAAGCTGTTTATGAGATGTGCTGTTTCTCTTGCAGATCTCATGTAGTTTATTATTCATGGATCCCCAGATCCAACCACACGGAATAACAGAGTCAGAAGGGAGCATGAAGATCTTCTAGTCCAACCCTCTGCCTAGGCAGGAAACCCTACACCATTGCAGACAACTGGTTATCCAACCTCTTCTTAAAAACTTCCATTGATGGAGCATTCACAACTTCTGAAGGCAAATCCTTCCACTGATTAATTGTTCTAACTGTCAGGAAATTTTCTCCTTAGTTCTAAGTTGGCTCTCTCCTTGATTAGTTTCCATCACACCACACAAAATTATTTATTTGGCATTCTAGGGAGAATTAGGCAAATTACGATTATGAGAATTATGGGAGAATTATTAACCGTCTTGTCTCCAGAATCTGTGGGTGCTTCATCACTGGAGGTTTTTAAGAAAACACTGGACAGCCACTTGTCTGAAATGGTATAAGGCCTCCTGCTTGAGCAGGGGTTGGACTAGAAGACCTCCAAGGTCCCTCCCAGCTCTATTCTGATTGTGATTACGTTTAAAGGCCATGTGGATCTCAGCTGCTGAGTTGGCAAATTGAACTTCGATGCCTACAGGCTGCTCTAACTGAAAGCCATGGGGGATTTTCCTAGTCAACACCCAAGCAGAGGACAAGCCAAGAGAAACCTTCCATGGCAGGCAGTTACAAGAGGTGAAGGAGAAGGGATTCAGGATGGATTTGGCAGTCCTCACCTTCACAGTTCCTTCCATCAGCTGACACGTGAAAGCCAGCATTGCAAACACAGTGGAAGCTGCCATCAGTGTTAATGCATCGTCCGTTGTTACATATCCGGCCGTTCTGCAAACATTCGTCGATATCTTTAAAAAAAAAGCCAACAGAGACATAAATATGAGTAGTGACAGTCCTCAACTTATGACATGTAATTGAGCCCAACTTTTCTGTTGTTAAGTGAAACATTTGTTAAGTGAAATGGTCATCAATGTGAAAAATGGCCATAAGTCCCTTTTTTTCAGTCCGACTGTAACTTCAAACAGACTCAATGAACTGTTGTAAATCGAGGACTCGCTTCACAGTGAGTCATAACAAAAGAAGCAACTTGATCTGCTACGGAGGACTCCACTCCTTTGAAATCACAAAACACCAAACGGACCAAGCTGAACACTTCAGTTGTGTTGACCTACATCCGGAGTCTCCAAACCTGACAACTTTAAGACTTGTGGACTTCAACTCCCAGAATTGCCCAGCCAGCATAACTAGCTGAGGAATTCTGGGAGTTCAAGTCCACAAATCTTAAAGTTGCCAAGTTTGGAGACCCCTGACTTACATAGAAGGGATGTAAACATGTGTCTTTTTTCCTGCCACCGGAATCTAGTGCATTACTGTGCTTAACTTTGGCTGCATCTTGATAGAAACCGAGTTTCAGGAATGATGTCACTCTGCAGGACTTACATCAGAATTCTTTCAAAAACAAGTAATCCTCAACTTACAACTTAGTGGCTATTTGAAGTTATGGTGGACCTCCCCAGAGCTACTTACAGTACATTCTCCTCATCCCTGTTGAATGGATATTTGTATATCTCGGTCTATCTTTCCATACACTTTGTACTATAAAGTCATTTCATTAAAGCCACTCTCTTTTCATACTGCTAGCAATTTGACTTCCAGGACTGGGGTGGGATAGGAGGGGAGGATGTTTTGGCAAAATGACACAACTCATTGAATCTCTTTTCTTCTTTTACAGCCCATTGGTCTTAAACTTTTGTTCTCTAGGCGTTATCTTTTAGCCCTATGTTTGTCATATAGATTCCCCTTAATCCAGCAGAGATATTTTTTTTTTAGATCTGGGCACTTCCTCCGCATGTTCCTAGTACAATTAAAAGTAGAATAAGAAAAAAGCTAAACACACAGTTCCGCTAACTATATCTTGGAGCATAAAGATCACCCTTTGCAAACTGATTTTTCTTGTATTCTTACAGAAAAGTTGGCCTCGTTTCCTTACATCAGAAGCCAAGTTTTGCCTTCCCCATCTAACATTGAACAGTTGGGGGAGGGGGGAGAACAATATCTCATTTTTTAATTCAGAGACAAGGATCCTGGGAGGTCCAAAATAATTCATCACATGTTATCTACTTTTCTTGCAAACCAAGAAGCCAGAATGAGATCCTAGCAGTTCAGATTCAGAGGAAATGGGCTACGGTTTAAAACTTTAGAAATAGCAACAAACATAGATATTTGTGAGACAGTTTCAGTGTTTCTACAGGGCTCTACTCTACCTCGGCATTCTGTTCTCATCAGGGTACTCTGATATCCAGCACGACACTTGCATATATAGGAACCCTGTGTATTCACACAGTCACCACCAACGCATGGATTCCTTTCACATTCATCCACATCTGTAAGAGACAGAAGATATATATATTTGGCAAGCTTTGGCAAGCGCTACCGAAGTTCCTGCCTTGCTTCACTTCTGTAAAGCATGCTTTTTACAAAACCCAAATAGCGTTTTATATATATTACTCTGGTTAGGGAATATTCATCCTTCATCACCCCAATACTTTGATATTAAGCCCCATTACTGTGGGAAAGTTATATACATTTCTTGGATTGGAATGGAATGATATGTTATGGAGCCATTTTTCTCTGCTTGGGTGAACGCAGACTTATCCGAATGAATCTTTAAAGCAAGATTTTAGCCTTCTTGGAAGAAACTTCTCTGCCGTGTTTTATTCACCCCAAGGATAAAACACTCAGACACAAACTGAGCAATGTGATGGTGTGTGCAGTTCAATGCAGGGAGACATGTATATTGGAGAAACAAAACAACCACTTCACAAACGCATGGCATGGCACAGGAGGACAAGCCCCTTAGGAAAGATTGAGTAGTCCATCTGCATTTGAAAGACAAGGGTCACTCTTTTGAAGGCAACAAAGTCCACATTCTGGACAGAGTGGACCGCTGGTTTGAAAGAGGGGTCAAAGAGGCCAGGGATGGGATTCAAAATGCCAGCAACTGGTTTGCTGCCCGGTTTGCTGGGTGGGCGTGGCCATGGTGGGCAGGGCCTACTGGAACTTCCTGTCTCTTCCGGGCCTCTGGGAGGGCAAAAACTGCCTCCCCTGGCCTCTGGAGGCCCACCAGAAGCTGGAAATAGGCCCGTTTTGCCACTTCCGGTTTTTTCCAGGAAAGGCGTTTTTCACCTCCCAAGGGTCCAGAGGCCTCCCCTGGGCCTCTGGGAGGGTGAAAACAGCCTCCCCCGGCCTCTGGAGGCCCTCCGGAAGCCGGAGACAGGCCCATTTCCAGACTTCCAGGACGTTCTTCCCCCTTCCAGAGCCTCCCCGCGGACCCTGCACTCCATCGAAAATGGGCCACATGGAGACTCCTGGGAGAGGAGGGGAGGGGTGGGAGGGACCGGGCCAGCTGGTCGTTTGAAATACTGGCTCGGTGAACCAGCTGTTGCTTTAACATCCGGTTCGTATGAACTGGTACGAACCGGTAGAATCCCACCCCTGAAAGAGGCCATCTATATTAAGACTCAAAAGAGGGAGAAGTATACGACACCACCTATCTCCTGTTTCCAACCCAGTCCTTTCAGCAGTTCCAGGAAGGTTCCACAGCCATTTGCACTCTGATTCAGGTGGCTCAGATAAACCCTCAAGTGGCCTCAATGACTCTCAGAGAGAGTGCTAACGACCAGAGGACTGCAAGGAATATAAATCCTTTCATTCCCCACCATTCAATCAGAGCTGAAGAAGATTCTTGGATGAGAAGTGAAACGCCTTCAAGGAAAAAACAACGTCCAGTTGCCTTTTGACTCAGAATGGAATCTATTCCTGACAAATTCGCCGTCTCAAAGGCTTCTGAGTAAAGCATATTCCAAATTCTGCTCCTTTCAGAAAGGAAGCATGCAGCTGAAAAGTGAAAGAAGGGAAAGGAAGGAATAAGACATGGGATCATAGGTCTGATGGACAGACGTACCTATGCATTCGCCTCTAAGGTCCAATTCAAACCCTTTCTTGCATTCACAGCGGTAACTTCCAGGGGTTGGGATGCAGCGTCCATTAATACAAAGATTTTGATATACCTGGCATAAGTTGGCTTGAGTGACATTAACTGAGGCAACAGCTGAAATTTGAAAAAAAAAATCTAAGTTCAATATTGGGTGCATTTGATACATTTTTAAAAAAATTGTTAAAATCTATTAGAGCAATTACAGTGAGATTGTATCCATCATTGATAAGCATATTGTTATTACAAATAGCAGTTCCCAATCTACCTGTTACTTCTTTTTCCTATTAAAACCAAGTTCTTACTATCATTTCATGAGGAAGGATTTATTTGCCAAGCTACCCATTTTGGACCTAAGCTGATTTGCTGATAAATAACCTAGATTTGCAGTCTGGAAAAAAAAAGAAACTCTTTCAAATCCACCCAGTATCTTTTGAAACACTTTCATCCTAATCCAATTTTCAACAAATTACATTTGATTTCTTAACAAACATCATCTTCTAGCTAGAAGACTAGAAAGGGAAGAGAAGAAAGTATCGAAACATCTCCAGGTTCTACCCAACATAATTAAAAATGAAAGTTTGGGAGTGGGAACACCTTATTCTTTGCACCAGAAAGCAAAATGTACAAAATGATTAGCGTCTACAATAATCTGAGTAAGCTGAAACATTGTTTTCTCTTTCACTTTGGCTGTTTTCTTACAGATGTTTCATTACCTAACTAAGTAACATCATCAGTGCTGTGATGAGGCTACCTAGTTGGATAAGGAAACATCTGCAAGAAAACCACCAAGCTCAGAGAGCCCCAAGGACAGAGGTGGTATTCAGCCAGTTTTGATCGGTTCTGCAGAACCGGTACCGGAAATTTTGAGTAGTTCGGAGAACCAGCAAAAAGCACCTCTGACTGGTCCCGACCCCACCTATTCTCTGCCTCCCGAGTCCCAGCTGATTGGCTGAGTCTTCTTTGGTTGCCTGCACAGGAGAACAGAGCTGGAAAGCAGGTCAGTGGGGTGGGGAAGGAATGGGGATTGTGCAGTAACTTTCCCCTGCCACGCCCACAGAACACCACACCCACCAAGCCACGCCTACAGCTGATTGGCTGGATCTTCTTTGGTTGCCCTGCACAGGAGAACGGAGCTGGAAAGCAGGTCAGTGGGGTGGGGAGGGAATGGGGATTTTGCAGTAACCTTCCCCTGCCACGCCCACAGAACACCACACCCACCAAGCCATGCCTACAGCTGATTGGCTGGATCTTCTTTGGTTGCCCTGCACAGGAGAACGGAGCTGGAAAGCAGGTTAGTGGGGTGGGGAGGGAATGGGGATTTTGCAGTAACCTTCCCCTGCCACGCCCACCAAGCCACACCACACCCACTAAGCCACGCCCACAGAACCAATAGTAAAAAAAAAAATTGAATCCCACCACTGACCAAGGATCCCTCATTTCAACCCTGAGCTACCAATATTTTTTGTTGGCACATTGCTTGCTTTACATACAGTCCCCAATGACAAAGAAACTGGCAAGGGCCTATTTTACCGTCAACAACAGCACAAACCCCAAACCAGATGAAAGGGGAAAACGAAGTATTTAAATTGAGCCTTACGTGGAGGTCTCCGAGAAGGCAGAACCCCATCTGGTGGAAACACTGGCGGTGGGAAGATGTCAGGTGGAAAACCAATGGGTGGTCTTGGGAAAGTGGGCCTGTCCGGCCTCCCTGCTGGCAAACTCCCATATATACATAATTTACGGAACTCATCTGAAAGAAAATACATAATTATTCAATCAAGAATGACTGACCGTTGCTTTTTATATTTATAGCAAGGGTGCCCAACCTTGGCAATTTTAAGATCTGTGGATTCCAACTCCCATAATTCCCCAGCCAGCCAAGCTGGGGAATTATGGGAGTTGGAATCCACAGATTTTAAAGTTGCCAAGGTTGGGCACCCCTGGGTTAGAGCCAGTTAGAGACTAATACTCAGAATTAAATACAGCGGTTGAGTTATTGATATGCTCTTAAGCAAAAACCATCTTCTATGTTTGCATGGGCTTGAATATTTCTGCTGCTACCCTGTTTCTCCAACAATATGGCCTCCCCCAATAGGAAGTCCCAGCATGTTTTATAGGCATGAAATGAAATTAAGCCCCTGCCCCCAAATTAAGGCCTATATTAAAACATGCGAAATGGGGGGGGAATGGTGGGGGGGGGGCTTGCCGTTAGGAAGTACTTTTGTTCCACACCCGGATATGGTGCTGCCTGCGTTGACCCCGATACGAAGTGCCCCACCAACGCCGAGGTCAACATCCAAGCCATCGCCGCCTGCCCGCCCGAAGATGCAAGGGGGGTGGAATTAAGTCACCCCCCGAAAAGACGGCCTAGCCATTTTTTTGGGGCTCAAAAAAAAAAAAATAAGACCCGGCCTTATTATATGAGAAACGCGGTAAAGAGTCTATTTTTTATAGATTTATTTTTATCCTGACTTTATTATTTTTATAAATAAGTCAAGGCAGTAAACATCCTTAATATTCCTTCCTCCTCCTATTTTCCTCAGAACAGCAACTTTGTGAGGTGGGTTGGGCTGAGCGGGAGGGACTGGTCCCAAAGTCACCCAGCTGCCTTTCATGCCTAAAGCAGGACTAGAACTCACAGTCTCCCATTTTCTAGCCTGGTGCCTCAACCACTAGACCAAACCGTCTCTCAGTTGGGGAAATGTGCTCATTTCTTGCCTTCTTACCTTTGGACTGATAGTTTGACTGAGAGGGGAAGCCTGGCGCTGTAAGAAACTAAGACTAAATCAGAATCGTTTTATTAATGCCTTCTGATTCACCAGAGAGCCGCCATAAGTGCTGCTCATAACACACGAAAGAATGTGTCCTCCTTGCAATGAAAATCAATCTATTCTCCTTGGAGAATTGTGTTTCCTCATCTCAGGACTGTAGAGATGTCTTAGCTCAAGTCGTCCTACCATTTTGCAGGTCCCACTCCAAAATAACAAGGGGTTTTATACGTTTAAACAGCACGTCGTGAGTTCCATACCTGTAGCACGAATGGGGCACATTTCTGGGGCAGTGGTAGCTCCCGGAGACCAACATCGTCCAGAGTCACAACAGCACTGGGTTTTGGTGAGCACTTGCTGGAGTTGATTGTTGCAACGGCCGTTGGTGAGAGAAGTAAAGCAATACCCCGGGCGTACGTCTGTTCCAGAGAAGAAATGGAGACAACACCCATCAACTCTTTGAGAATAATAATTCTTTGGCAGATAAAGAGTATTTCTCTCCTTATACATCTATCTCATTCAACAAGGAGTCTACCCATCACACCCACCTCGGTATGAATTATATCACAAATTAACAGAGTTGGAAGGGACCTCTAGTCCACCCCACCACCCAGCCCAAGCAGGAGACCCTACATCATTTCTGACAGATGGCAGTCTAATCTCTTCTTGAATGCTTCCAGTGATGAAGCTCCCACAAAGTCCAAAGGCAACTTCTGTTCCATGGGTGGATTGTTCTCACTGTCAGAAAGTTTCTCCTTATTTCCAGGTTGAATCTCTCCTTGTTCAGTTTCCATCCATTACTCCTTGTCTGGCCTTCGGGTGCCTTGGAAAATAGCTTGACCCCTTCCTCTCTGTGGTAGCCCCTCAAATATTGGAATATCCTGCCTCCCCTGGTCCTTCTCTTCACTAGACTAGCCAAGCCCAGTTCCTGCAATTGTTTATCATATGTTTTAGCCTCCAGTCCCCTAATCATCCTGGTTGCTCTTCTTGGCACTGTTTCTAGAGTCTCAACATCTTTCTTATAGTGTGGTGACCAAAACTGGATGCAGTATTCTAGTTGTCATCTTACTATGATATATTACAATAATATTTGCTCCTTCGGGTGATGACGTGTGTAGAATGTCATGAGAATGATTGAGGGATCTCAGTATTTCTAATCTAATAAAGAGAAGGACTGGGGATGCTATGATAGCAGGCCTCCTCTTCTCTATGACAGCCCTTCAAATACCGGAAGCCTGCTATCATAGCATCCCCAGTCTTCCCATCCTAACGAATCCTGCACATGTCATCATCTGAAGGAGCAAATCTTTCTTGGTGATGGATCGCCTGCCTATTTAAAGGCCAAAATTTCCTTTCCAAAATACTCTGCATTGTTATTAAAGAGAAAGAAGCAGGAAGCTTGTGGAAAGTGGCAGAAAAATCTCATTTCCCCAACTAATGCAAAAAGTTTCCGGGTTCTGTTCTTTTCTTCCATAAATGCTGCACAAGATTTTGGTTGAACCTTGGTTAGCCTCAATTTGCAATAATTGCGCCTTGGATAAACCTCATTGGACTACGATATTCCCACTGCCCCCCACCCCCCCAAAAAAAAATCTATGTAAGGGTTAACACGGGTTCTTTCAGAAAATGTTTCTATTCCCACCAATCCAAATAGATTATATGGTTAGTGTCTATCCTCTCCTTAGTGGGTTTTCTGTAGTAAAAAGATTTAAAAAAATAAAACAGGAAAGGCGAATGGAAAAACTATGGAATCCCTATTAATTTTAATAACTAAAGCAGGGCAATGGCTTTAGTAAACTCTTGCCTGAAAGATCCCCAGGCATTTCAAGTCAGATTAATTTAAAATTAAATTTAAAAAAAGTTATACGTATAGCATTGGACCAGTTGTATATTGAAAGTATACTTGGGATATCCATGAAAAAGAATACAGATAGTCCTAAGTTCATATAGGGACTGTTCAAAGTTACCACAGCACTGAAAAAATTGACTTATGACCGTTTTTCACACTTAACGACCATTGCAGGATCTCTGTGGTTACATGATCAAAATTTGGATGCTAGACAACTGGTTCCTATTTATGACAGTTGCTATGTCCCTGGGTCGTGTAATCCCCTTTTGTGGTCTTGTGACAAGCCAAGCCAGTGGGGAAGCTAAATTCAGTTAACAACCCAGTTACTCACTTAACAACTGTGGCAAGAAAGGTCGTAAAATGGGGCAAAATTAGCTGAATAGCTGTCTCACTTAGCCACAGAAGTTTTGGGCTCAACTGTGGTCAAAAGCTGAGGATTACCTGTAGCTATAAATATATAAGCAAAACACCCCTTACGCATCATCACAAAATCTCCAGAACCGTAGAGCCTACAAACTTGAAATTTGGCACAAATGTTCCTCTTGGCTTCTAGGTGCTCACTAAGAAAGGATTTTTCCAAATGACCATCAGAGCATTAGTATTTCATATATTATTATTATTAACACGCTCTGATGCTAAAGAGTTCTACTCCCCCTCCCCACCTGAAAAGAAATCTGTTCCAAATGCAAAACACAAGCAGAGGAGAGGAGTTTCGGTTTCAGTTTTAATTTCATAGCACCAAGCAGCTTTAGTGCAGAACAGTTGAGCTAAGCCATACCCAGGCTCCTTGCTGTCTCCTTCTTGCTCACACAGCAAATACTGCTTCAGTTTCCAAACAGCCCTCAACTCTCTCACACACTGACAGGACGCTAGCCCGATGAATACCGATGGATGCTGGTAGACAGCAGCAAATTTTTTTTTCTTATTTTCCTCCCCCAAAACTAAGCCTGACCACATAGTGTACAGAGCTAGTTTATAAATATAAAGTACATCAAGGGTATAGAGCTAGTTTATAAATATAAAGGACATCAAGAAGAATTATGATCTAAAGAAAGAAAGCGAATGAAAAATGAATTAAATTAAGCATTCTGGGACAAGCAAACTGTCCAGCCCCTCCTTGTGTCCTGAGTAGCATTTTCTGCATCTAGAAAGTCAGCCATACTTGTCCTTCTTCTAATAGCCCCTGTTCAAGACAAAACACAGACTGCAAGAGAAGACAGCTACGAAACCCAAAGGGCCCGATTTGGAAACCCTTTAAAAAGCGAGACACAAAACAGAAAGCATCAAAAGTTGGTCCTTCTCCTCTTATAAGATACAATCTATTTTTCATACTCATAGAGCTGGAAGAAATCCTTTTTAAAAAAAAAAAAATATTGGAAGAAAGATACTGAAGTTTCAAAAAAAAAAGTCAGAAGACAGATAGTGGAGCCAATTCTGGCAGCCGCCGTTAACAAAAAATTTTAAGCCGGAAGACTGAGGGATTCCTGGAAGTGTAAGAGACACCAGGATATGAACACCCAGACTGGGATTTTATTATTTTAGATATATATTTTTTTCTAGAAGAAAAATCTGCAGTGCTTTGTGTTCATCATTCTGGAAAAGCATGTGTCAAACCAAGATGATTAGGGGACAGGAGGCTATAATATATAAAGAACGGTTGCAGGAACTGGGTATGTCTAGTCTGATGAAAAGAAGGACTAGGGGTGACAGGATAGCAGCGTTCCAATATCTCAGGGGATGCCCCAAAAAAGAGGGAGTCAAGCTATTCTCCAAAGCACCTTAAAGGCAGGACAAGAAGCAACGGATGGAAACTAATCAAGGAGAGAAGCAACTTAGACCTAAGGAGAAATTTCCTGACAGTTAGAACAATTGATCAGTGGAACGACTTGCCTCCAGAAGCTGTGAATGCTCCAACACTGGGAGTTTTTAAAAAGATGTTGGATAACCATTTGTCTGAAGTGGTGTAGGGTTTTCTGCCTAGACAGGGGGGTGGACTAGAAGACCTCCAAGGTCCCTTCCAACTCTGTTATTCTATTCTAAACCAAGCTATTTGCCTTCCCGGGAAGACAGGACCAAAAAAGTCAGAATGGAGAAAACTGCCTATATTAAGTGCTGCAGATGGCAAATTTGGAGGCCAAACAATCCCCCATTTATTCTCAAACTCAGGTAACAGAGCTCTCTGACCTGGAACCAGGCTACGTGGAATCCCTGCAGGGTTAAAATTTGGGTTTTAGAGTTTCGTATCTTAATTTGATGCATTCTTGATTCAGTTGAACCCCTGCAGCTGTTAAAGTTAGTAACCTGGTTGTTACATGAATCTGGCTTCTCCGTTGACTTCGCTTGCCAGAAAGTCTCCCATTTTTCATTCGCTTTCTTTCTTTAGATCATAATTCTTCTTGATGTACTTTATACAGGTAATCCTCAGCTTTCGACGACAGTTGAGCCCAAAACTTCTGTGGCTAAGTGAGACAGGTGTTAAGCGAATTTTGCCCCCATTTTATGACCTTTCTTGCCACAGTTGTTAAGTGAATCACCACAGTTGTTAAATGGGTAACCAGGTTGTTAACTGAATTTAGCTTCCCCACTGGCTTTGCTTGTCACAAGATCACAAAAGGGAAATCACATGACCCCGGCACATAGCAACTGTCATAAATAGGAACCAGTTGTCTAGCATCCAAATTTTGATCATGTGACCACAGAGATGCTGCAATGGTCATTAAGTGTGAAAAATGGTCATAAGTCCCTTTTTTTCAGTGACGTTATAGCTAAATGAAACAAACACTAAACAAAGTGTTGTAAGTCGAGGGCAGGGGTGGGATTCTACCGGTTCAGACCGGTTCGGGCAGACCGGATGTTAAATTTGCACCTGGTTCACCAAACCAGTGTTTGAACTGACCGGCTGACCCCACCCACCTCTCCCCTCCCCTCCCAGGAGTCTCCAGGCGGCCCATTTTCAATTCAAATGAGTGCAGGGTCTGCACAGGGGCTCTGGGAGGAGGAAAAACAGGCCTTCCGGAAGTCTGGAAATGGGCCTGTTTCTGGCTTCCGGAAGGCCCTCCAGAGCCCGGGGGAGGCTATTTTTGCCCTCCCAGAGGCCTGAGGGAAGCCTCCGGACTCTGGGGAAGGCGAAAAACAGCCCTCCCAGAAGTTTTGGTAGGCCGCGCCCACCCAGCAACTGGGCAGCAAACCGGTCGCTGGGATTTTTGAATCCCACCCCTGGTCGAGGGCTGCAATTGTGGAAGGCTTTTTTGTAGAGTTTTTGCAGGAAATGGAGAGAAATCAAATGTCAACATATGGATTTGGATTTAAAAAAGAGAAGGAGGGAGAGAAGAATTTGAGGGCAGAAGTGAAAGACTAGGCAAACTAGGGCAGCAGAAGAGAGAAGTAAACACTGACTAAGCACACGGCGTGAAGAAGAGCAGTGAACTGAGATTTAACTCAGCGTGGAATGCTCTTTTTCATCCTTGAATTACCCTCACAGCGGGACCTTTTCCTATCTCCTGCCTTAAAATCGACTCTGTCTCAGGTCCAAGACTTTTCAGTCTGAGTTACTCCAGGATGGAGCTATTTCTTAAGGAATCTACACATTTCTGCAAGAAGAGTTTGTCTCCCATCCCAGATTGTACTAAGAAAACCTTTTCAGAAAAGATGTTTCGGCTGAGAATACGGTTGATGTGGAACAGGAAACGGAAAGGGGCTGTTTTTAAATCAAACCTGAGACAGGCCAAAAGAGCTTTACAGCTGAATTGCAGGCATAGAAAACGGCAAAAAGGAAAAAAGGGAAAAGAAATTTTGAACTGACATGAGTGCGACTAATTCCAGACTGGACTTTGTGCCCAGTTCCGTGGTTTTTGGCTAGTGTCTTTGAAATGCTGCAAATGTAGAAGATGCAAACTCGAGCTATCTGCGGGGGAATGGGCCTGAGTTTTGCATGTAAGAGTGTTTTGTCTTGAAAATGTTGCTAAAATTAAGAATGGCTCAGGGTCTGGAATACGTAACACTTTCACTATTTCTTGTCCTTGCTGAAATATCCAGCAATTCCATTAAAATACTTGAGTCTCCAGCCGTAGCAAGAAAGGAGCTAAGCTTGGATTCTGTAAAAAATATGGTCACCCTATTTGCACCGACACTGAAGATGTTGTTTGAGAAAGGTCATTTGTCCCCAAAAGCTGCTAAACCAGGAAAAAGAATATATCCAAACATTCTTTTACAAGCTAATCAACAAGGCTGGGGAACATTCCTTCCCACGTCTATTAGGAATTCTGGGATTAGATCTTAGGTCAAGGATCGATTTTAGTTCCTGATAGCTTGGCTAGCTGTAGTCTCACTCACATGCTGGATATAAAAGCAGGAGACAGACAGGAAGGAGATCCAAATGCATCCAAGACCATATTTAAAAAGCAGGGTTCGCAAACTTTTTATAAGGCTGACTGCTCTTACTATACGTGAACAGCATGCTAGGGCTGTTTAACAGATTAACAGAGTTGGAAGGGACCTTGGAGGTCATCTAATCCAACCTTCCACCCAAGTAGGAGACCTTACACCATTTCTGACAAATGGCAGTCCAGCCTCTTCTTGAAAGTTTCCAGGGATGAAGCTCCCACAACTTCTGAAGGCAACTTCTGTTCCATTGGTTGATTGCGCTCACTGTCAGAAAATTTCTCCTTATTTCCAGGTTAAATCTCTCCTTGTTCAGCTTCTATCCATTACTCCTTGTCTGGCCTTCTGGTGCTTTGGAAAATAGCTTGGCCCCTTCCTCCTCTCTGTGGCAGCCCCTCAAATATTGGACAACTGCTATCCTGTCTCCCCTGGTCCTTCTCTTCACTAGACTAGCCATGCCCGGTTCCAGTAACCGTTCTTCATATGCCTTAGTCTCCAGTCCCCTAATCATCCTGGCTGCTCTTCTCTGCACTTTTTCTAGCATCTCAACATCTTTTTTATAGTGTAGTGACCAAAACTGGATGCAGTATTCTAGGTGTGGTCTTACTAACGCTTTAGAGAGTGTACCTCACTTGACCTTGATTGTATCCCTCTGTTAATGCAATTTAGGATTGTGTTGGCTTTTTTGGCTGCCGCCACCCACTGCTGGTTCATATTTAACTGGTTGTCCACTAAGACTCCAAGATCCCTCTCACATTTACTGCTATTGAGCCTGGTTTCACCAGTTTACATGTGTTAGTAAGGAGAAGGGCCAGGAAATGGATTTCGATCAAGGACAAAACCAATGAAACACATTATTTTAAATAATAAGAGATAGAATATGCAATAATAAAAGGTAAAAATAATAATAAGGCCTCCTGGATGTCTAACTGATAATTTCCTAGACATATCCAGGAATATCTCCGTGGTGTTAGTTGAAAAAGTCAAGATGGGGTGGTTGAAGCTATGACTAGTATCATATCACAAGTTGCAATGTATTGTCTGGAATTCCAAGTACTGATTTCTAGAATGAGTGAATACAAATATATTTGTCACTCTATATAGAGCAAATGATTTTGTGTTGTTGTACATGTAACGTTTTGGGTAATTTGTGAGGAAAACACATTATACCGTACTCTTGTGAGGTCCAAACTACAGTAGACATCAAATACTACCCTAAACTTTTTTTAGAAAGGCGTCCAAAATGAATCACCTCCCAAAATAAATGTGTTCCAGATTTCTAAGGGAAAAGTAAAGTTTATACAATTGGTCCTATTCCATGTCAGTTTTGTTCTGCATTTTCCCCTCAAGTGACCCCTTCTGACATGAAGTGATATGTAAAAACCTGTGTTTGGGAAAGGTATTGTATTTCAAACAGGAACACACAGAAATTGTCCGGACTTAATAAAAGAAAGATGGTAAGTCATAATGGCTGCATTCTTCTAACCTCTTCTTTCTTTCTTTCTTTCTTTCTTTCTTTCTTTCTTTCTTTCTTTCTTTCTTTCTTTCTTTCTTTCTTTCTTTCTTTCTTTCTTTCTT